GAGAGATGAAAATTGTTTGAAACATGCGTACTAAATGTTACCAATTTGGTATTAAGGAAATATACTAGAAATTACTAAAAGTGGTATGTTGGGGTAAGGACGAACCCTATGAAATTGGAGATAATCGGCAAAAATTTAGATATAGCTCCCGATTTGCCTTTTAATTGTGTACCAAATGTGTAATATTTTGTCCAAATAGGATGGAACCTGGCACATACATCCAAATTGAGCGTTTCAAATTTGGTAGAAATCGGTTCAGATATAGCTATATTTTCCATACATATTCTTCATCCGATTTGTTAAATTTCTCCTCCACAGCCGTAAAATGCACTCCGTATCAACGATACTCGAAGAAATATATAAAATACATCTCAGAAATACTTTTGCCAAATTTTATCGAGATCGGGGTCTTTGGATTTAGCTCCCATATATATCATTATACAATTTCAAGTTTATTGTGCACCAAATGGTTAATGTTAACCCCGATTGAATGGGTTTTGGCACATACCTATGAATTTAGCCTGGAAAAAAAGTGTATCACATTTGGTGAAAATCTGTTAAATTGTAGCTATATTTCGATCAATATTTGATCCCAGCATAGAATACCTCTGCTAAATTTTACAGAGATCGGTTCAGACTATTGCCTGTCAATAGCATGAATTTTTGTGGTTCAGATACAAATGCCTCCGTCAAATTTAGTAAAAACAAGTAAAAAGCTGTAGTTCGGCCGGGCCGAACTTTGAATACCCTCCACCATTTGGTACAATTTGGCAATTTCCAAAAAATGAAATCCGTTAAAAATTCTGTTAAAATCTAAAAAAATACCGAAATGTAGCCGTATATAAGGGGTTATATACGACGACGTGGACCTGAATAGACAATTTTTGTCGCAAGCTATTACAATATTCAAATGCGAAACTTGAAAAAATCTGTTTATAATGTAGCTAAATCATCAAATTACCGAATATAGGGTGGTACCATGGGGGTTATAAAACATGGACCTGCACACACAATTTTCTGGCATAGGCTGTAGTATTCATTACGAACTTCAAATACAAAATGTGAAATAATCCGGTAAATAATGTCGCTAAAATCATCAAAATACAGAATATCGGGGTATGCCGTTATATGGGGGCTACACGAAGACGTGGACCTACAATTTCTGTTTTATGCTGTAGTATCTATTACGAATTTCCAATGCCAAATTTGAAACAATTCCGGTAAATAATGTCGCTAAAATCATCAAATACCGCATATCAGGAGGTACCGTTATATGGGGGCTATACGAAGACCTGGACCTACATGGACCATTTTTCAACACCAAAAGTCCTGCAGACATAATACACATTTGAGTAAAATTTATCAAACTACTTCATTTCGTTCGGAAGCTAGAGTGATTTCTACAGACGGATAGACGGACGGACATTGCTAAATCGACATAGAATTTTATGCTTATCAAGAATATATATACTTTGTGGTCTAAAATGTATATTTCGAGGTGTTACAAACGGAATGACAAACTTAATATACCCTCCTTACTATGGTGGAGGGTATAATAAAAGGAGGATATACACCCATACATCAGCTTCCGATATATGGTGTCAAGTATCAGATACAGCATAAAAAATACCTTTGCTAAATTTTATAGAGATCACTTCAGATTTGGATATAGCATCATATACATCTTCACCCGGTTTCACGTTAATTGTTCCTAAAAAGTATAATACCAACTCAAATAGAATGGATTTTGATGAATAATACGCATTCAAAACTATCATATTTTATATGTTTTAATTCTCATAAATTACCCATAAAAGCGTTAATTTTTTATATGTAGCTCTACTATGTATGTAAAGTTGTGTAGGGTATCATAAAGTTGACACAGCTCGATTGTGACCTTTCTTTACTGATTTCCGGAAAAAATAATGAACTATTAAAGGTACATTTATTATATATACCATGTCATGGTGCCAGGTTTGACTCGATGATTTTAGCTTTTATCAAAAATGTTTAGGTAGCCCAAATGGTCGATAAATACGGCTCCATGTAGCCCCTACTTATCCCAAATAACATACTCACATTCAAAATAAAATCCTCAAATAAATTCCAATTGATGGCGGATGCAACAGTTTGATTAACTTCATTTTTTGCACAAAAGCTGCAGCATTGCAAATTCGCTGGAAGCTCTAAAACACAAAACCAATTATTTTATTTCGTTTCACTTCACCTCTCTTCTTATGCCAAACCACTCACTCATTATACACTTGAGCTTTTTTTCTTTGATGCTTGATTTAAATTACAAAATGTAATTGCCGGAAATGGCTCATTAACGATAAAACTTGGCTCCGGACTAATACCGACAATAACCGGTGTTGAACGCCATTCGCATAGACGTCTCGTATAAAGAATACAGACAACAGGACGACAGCAACAAATGATAGCGCGAAAATATCCTTTCGCCAGGATACAATTGCTCGTCGACCACATATTTTAGACCGTGCAACGTTGAATGCGTGCAAATTCTTCGGTATTTTCACTGAAAACATGTTTCAAATTCACCGAACTCTCACGTTTAAGTAACAGCGGTTTATCCATGCCTGTGCCCATGGGAGCCTGTACTCTAGGACGATTTGGAACGCTCATAGTTTGAAGTTGAAATTGATACTGATAGCTGGTGATGTCCAGCGTTTCATTCATATATTGTTGATTTAATTGAACTTGATTTGGTAATTACACAACGGTGTAATTTTAAGGACCATCGTTTACTTGTGAGTGAGTGCAGGGGTGGTGTGGTAATTGTTGGTATATTTTCCCCAACCACATCATATAAAAAGGAATTGTTGACATTGCATCAAAGTGTGAGGACATAACAATTTTTAGTAGCAAAAATAAAATATTTTCTTTTTTAAATAAAATCAACAACAAGGGTTTCAGCTAGCCAATGTGGCATTGTCGATATACCTTAGGTCAATGATGCAAAATAAATGCAAATGCAATTTTTTTGAGAAAAGGTTGTAAAAATATTTTTGACATTGACTGAAACGTTTGGTAGGAAACTTAGTTCAATGAATTGAAGTCAGTTTCTTTTATCTGCATTGGAATTAGCAGAAAAAGACAGAGATTTTTTTATCTGAAATTCATTTTTACAAAATACTCATTTTAATACCTTCGATGTTATACATCGTATGTTTGGTATTGAAAATTGAATATAACAGTCCAGTCCAGAGTTTTCTGACTCAATCCACAACCAAATTAGAAGTAATTTGACATTTCAGTATTTTAAGGATTTCTACCCCTATTTCCAACCATATCAGATGTAACTTAATATTTCTGTTTGTCATTGGATAGTTAAACTTCTCGCAAAAATTTTAATGGTAGGCCAACTTGTTGGTTTTTCGTTTGGTTTTCCATTCAAATATCCACTTGTAAATCATTTCAGTCATATATCGAGAAAATTAGTTAATTAATGTTTCATCCGATTTGGGGTTTTAAGTCCCTCACATGCAAATTTTATCGAGATCGGTTCAGATTAGGATATAGCTCCCATATATATCTTTATTCGATGTCAGGTTTATTGTGCACCAAATGGCTAATATTAGCCCAAATGGACTGAATTTTGGCAATTTCGACTGAATTCATCCTATAAACCAGTACTTCAAATTTGATGTAAATCGGTTCAGATATAGCTATAGCTCCTATATATATGTTTTATCCGATTTGGAATTTAAAGTCGCTTACAAGCGTAATATGCATTCCACAACAATGAACTCTGGTACCAGATATCAGATACAACTCTGAAATAAGTGTATAAAATTTTGTCAAAAACGGCTACAGTACAGTTTTCCAAAATCAAATTCGTATCTTAAACACAGAAACCGAAAGTGACATCTTTATCAAATTTCAAAATTTTAGCTCTACTCCTTCCCTGAATACCAAATTTAGTTACATTTGGTAATTTTCGTACAAATATAGTACTCATTTCCAAAACCACCTCCATATCTCCATTTCAGATACCAACAGAGACCTCTATATCAAAATTGAGGATTTCAGAATCGTATCTATATCACTTAGAGTACCATTCAGTACTTTTCGTACAATCATAATGCTCACCAGCAAATCATAAATAAACCTGCAAATGTTCAGATTTCACATGAACAGCTACCCGAATTTCAGATTTCAAGCACAATCAGTTCACCCAATACCGAATTGTTGCAAATATTGCACTATTAGTACGTTCCGTGCACTTGTAGTACATGCTTGACGTCGGGCTATGCTACCAGTATCACGGTAACGAGCGATGGTACGAGACACAAAAGATTTATTCACATTTAAATGCTGGAGTGCTCTAACGATAGCCACTTGTGGTTTTCAAGCCAAATATAAAGAAATCACATATCACGCTTGAATTCCATCACGAATAAATTTTTTTTTCTGGAAAATTCTCACAAAAATGCTTTTTTACGCTTGTAAACAATGTAATGAGCTGTCATTGAAATAGTTTTAACAGTTTTCGGACGAGTGGCTTTGATTGCAGTTGATTGCAGTTTTTTCATCTCACCCTGTATTGTTTCAGACAATTTGAGATTTGAAGTACGAACATCAATTTTTGATGTTTTTATATATAATTCGCTCATATTTAATTCAAAATGTACTCCGTCTGAGCTATAGGCGATCGGTGTAAATTGTTTTATAACTCTCATATATATCTTCTTCCGATTACAGTTTTATTGCACATCAAATGTGTAATATTAGCCCACATAGGATGGGATTGGGCACAAGCTACTAAATTTTGCCTTAACGTAACAGTTGGTTCAGATATAACTAAAGCCCCTATTTATATGTTTCGTTGTATAAGTCCCCCACAACTGTAATATGTACCGTATAAAAATATCACCCTGGACAAGATTTCATACACATCGTAGAAATACATTTGCCAAATCTGGTCCAGATTTGGCTGCAGGATCGTATGCTCCTACGTCATATAATTTTCCAAATAAACGTTTATTTATTTCTGGTAGCTCTACTAGGTATTCAAAGTGGTTAGGGTATCACAAAATCCGCCTGCCCAACTTCTAACCATTCCAAATTTAATAAATCATTAATATAATTATTCGATATAAGGATAAACATGTCCATCATCATTTGAGATATTGCGTGACTTTGTAAACATATTTCGCAAGTTTTTCTGATATTTTCGATGAGTTCTTCGGAAACGTTTTACCCAGGGCTTCCTTTTGACATCGGTGACAGAATTGTCCATTTTATAGGAATCCTTGGTGAGCCACTGCAAAAAAAAGGAAACTGATAAAAATGTTATCCAAAAAAAAAAACAGCTAAAGTAGCACTACTTTTATTTCATTCTGTCTCCTTTTCTTTTCCATTTCCATGGTACGGGCTGCACAATATGGTCTCACCGTAATATAATAAACAATCTCAATGATGGAAAATATGCTGAAACCCATAAATAGGCCCAATAGGCCACCGGTATTGGCTGAAAAAAAGCGGAGCTATATAATATCTTGTGATACTAAATACTTTGGATCTTACACAAAAACTCTGTGAAACCAAACATTTCCGATTTTGTGGTTCCCCGAAATGTATTCGATATATAATAGAAATGCATAATCGACAAATCACTGATTTTGGTTTCGGGCGTAAAATACCCGGAGGGAAATCATCTGATGTGCGAAAATCACCCAAAACCATAGCCGATGATGTTAACGTTGTCTGATAATTCAATTCGAAACAACCCGGCAAACATGAATCACACGATTCACTCTTGTTCGACGATTCAATTTCCGATTGTACCTGAGTTGTACAACGATTATCGTTCGGACCACAAATCGGTACATTCGGATCGATGCGTGGCAGATAATATAGGACGCAGGAACATTTCTTCATTAATATCTTTGCTTCACATTCCAATTCACAATTCTTCCGTGAATATGTTCGATAATAGACCAGGTCGCCTTCGTCAGAGAAGAGACAACGACGCACCGATTTTTTAATGTACCTAATACTATCCACCGCATCCTGATAGATGGGCTCAATGGGTATACGCGCCTCACGTCCCGCCGTCATGAGGAAACCATAATTGCTGATTTTGGGCAGCTCAGCGGGATTATGCACCAGGACCTATAAGAATAGTAAACAAGTGAACGAAAATGGAATATTTCGCTTCACAATACATGACCATAACCGATCCACATTTTTCGGAAACATATCCTTACCTTGAAACCCACACATTTGGTTTTACTGCAATAATATTCACTGGACGACACATTCAATACGACAGTCAGTCCCATTCTACTTCCCGTTCCACCTGAAACCCGTGGATAGTAGTGAGAAGGCAAAACCTTGGGATAACCCTTATCCGGTGTCCAATCAATGGCCACATAATGACTTTCCGAAGCCGGTAGAAGAGAGTTTTCTTCGCTGAAAATAAATTATAAGGACTCGATTTTTTGCATTATGATGTCGGACAATTTCTCACTGTGGACTTTTATAACTATTTTTTGAGGATTAGATTAGGATTATCAGACGTGGAAATTATGAACATTTTTTAAGGATGTTTCTTACCCTTTCTCATGGGCGATAGACTATGATTTAGATTTAAATTTTCAAGGATAATCTTGTGGATTTTTATATCTTTTCCCATCGACGTGAATTTTTAAGATCATCTTCCATGGATCTTTAGAGGAGGATTTTGAACATTTATTTTCAAGAACCATTGACGTGGACTTTTAAAACTATTTTTAAGGACAATCAGACTAGTATTTTTAAAACTATCGTGCAGTCCTCTTCAAAGACAAAACACATTTTAATGGGTCATTGGGGCGGGGCGTTCATTTAAAGTGAATTTTTCGAGGACTGTACTAGATTTTAAACACCATTTTTCCATATAAGTAAATTTCTCTTGAAAGTCTACTTTTTAAGGAAGAATAGGACACGATTTTTTTTCTGGAATGACTATTATATAAGGTTTGGATTTTTTTAAAACACTTTAAGGATTTTAGGCTTTTTTAAAAACTATTTAGTGAGGATTATAAGGCTTTCTTAAGAACTATGTGGTGATGATTTAAAACTATTTTCGAGGGCTATTAGGAGTAGATTTTTTAAAATATTTTTCAAAAATGTGTATTTTTTTACTAAAGGGTTGTCCATATTCGTCGGACCCATCTGGCAACGCCATAACTTTTGACAGAGATGTCACATCGCTTAATGACATACCGCGTTTGAAGCGTCAGTCCAAGCAGATTTTTACCATGAACCAATACACGCCACGCGAGCGCTCTGAAATAGTTGAAATTTACATTCAACAGAAGAAGTCAATTGTGAAAACTCAACCTGCTTTTAAAACATTAAAAAATGTGAGAAGTGCGCCTTCTAAGAGCACCATTTTCAACTGGTAAGGTTCTTTCTAATCCGAAGAGGCCATATAAAAGTCGACCAAGGCGATCTGCCGAGAATATCGCTGCCGTACGAGCCAGTGTTGAGAGGTCCCCATGAACATCCCAAAAACGCCGTTCTCAGCAGTTGGTCATGGCTCGGTCCACTTTACAACGGATTATTCGCATTGATTTGCATTCAATTGCGGGCAAGCCTCGTCGATTGGAATGGTCCCAAAGAGTAATAAGTCCGTCGAATATGGGCAACCCTGTATTTTTAAAGGAGGTGGATTCAAGGGACTTAAAAAATGACGTGAATTTTAAAGACTTAAAATAAAAAAAAATAAAAATAAAAGTATTAAGATAAATAAGAAATGGGTTTTAAGTCTTTTTTTCGAGGATTTTAAGACTATTTTTCAAAGACTATGATCGTCGATTTTAAGACCAATTTTCAAGGTCTGGATGGATGATGGAGAGACAATTATTCAAGGTCAGTGGACGTGAATTTTTTGACTAATTTTCAGGGACTATGGACCTGGATTTTATGATTATAATAACCATAACTTTAGATTTTTAAGACTATTATTCCAGGCCTATGGACGTGGATTTTTAGGCCAATTTTTAGGGTCTAGGGACGTGCGCTTTTAGGGCTATTTTTAGGGGACTGTCAGACATGGTATTTTAACTATTTTCAAGAAATATCAGGTGTGAGTTTTAAAGCTATTAACCGTGAAACTACTTTCAAGGACTATTTTTTAAGACAACTTTTCGTGGACTATTTTTCGCAGACTTGGATTTAAAAATCAATTTTTAAACCCATTTTTAAGGGACCTGGATCTTTAAGAGCTATTAGGAATGGATTTGAAGACTATTTTCAAATATTAACGTCATAGACCAATTTTCACGTTTTAAAGACCCATAGCTGTGGATTTTTGAGACTATTTTTCAAGGTCTATGAACGTAGATTTTTAAGACCAATTTTCAAGGAGATTTTCAAGGAGATTTTCAAGATCAATTTTCAAGGTTAATGAACGTGGATTTTTAAGACAAAATTTAAAGGTTTATGGACGTGGATTTTAGGACAAAATTTAAAGGTTTATGGACGTGGATTTTTTATTTTTAAGATCAATTTCACTGATCTATGGGTGTGGATTTTAAAGACCAATTTAATGACCTATGGGCGTGGATTTTTTAAACCAATTTTTAAGGTCCATGGACATGAATTTTTGAGACCAATTTTACAGATCTATAGGCGTGGATTTTTTAAACCTATTTTTAACGTCCATGGACATGAATTTTTGAGACCAATTTTACAGATCTATAGGCGTGGATTTTTAAGGCCAATTTTTAAGGTCCATGGACATGAATTTTTGAGACCAATTTTACAGATCTATAGGCGTGGATTTTTAAGGCCAATTTTTAAGGTCCATGGACATGAATTTTTGAGACCAATTTTACAGATCTATAGGCGTGGATTTTTAAGGCCAATTTTTAAGGTCCATGGACATGAATTTTTGAGACCAATTTTACAGATCTATAGGCGTGGATTTTTAAGGCCAATTTTTAAGGTCCATGGACATGAATTTTTGAGACCAATTTTACAGATCTATAGGCGTGGATTTTTAAGATCAACTTTCAAGGTCTATGAACGTGATTTTTTAAGACCAATTTTCAAAGGTCTATGAACTTGGATTTTTGAGACCAATTTTCAAGTTTTCAATAACTATCAGTTGCGAGTTTAAGTTTTTTTTCGAGGACTATCAATCGTAAAACTAGGACTATTGACTGCATTTCTTAAGACTACGTTCTAGAGACTAAACTGTGGATTTTAGGACTAATTTTCAAAGACTAAGATAGTAGTTTTTGAGACATGTCAAGGACCAAGAAAGTAGACTTTGAGACTACTTGCAGATAACAGCGAAAGTGGACTTTAAGACTATTTTACAAGGTATGCGAACGTAAATTTTTAAAGTCACTTTTAGGTTTTACGACCCATTGTAAAAGGCGGTAAACATGAATTTTAAAGGACTGCATATTAATTAAAAACAGTTTGAAAGCTGATTTCAATTACAATATCATTAGAATTGTCAAATCAGTGGAAGAACATTTTAAGGACTTACTTCGACGATTATGCCGTAGTTTCTTAAAAACAACTTCTCAGCGAATATCAGACAAATGAACTTGGATTTTAAAAGTATTTTCAAAGAACTATGTGGACTTTAGGTTTATTTCTAAAGACTTAAAAAGATTTTATCGTCAATTATTCATAGACTATGAGGCCAAATGACGTGGATGTAAGATCCATTTTTCCTCTAGATCCATCCTCTAGACCAATGAACATGGATTTTAAGGACTATATTTTAAATATATCAGACCGATGACCTTGGATGACCAATGAACGTAGATTCCAAGGCCTCTATTTAAGATATATCAGAAAAATGAACGTGGATTTTAAGGACCTTTAGAGCAATGAACATAGATTTAAATGGCTTTAAAAACGTTTTTTTTTTTTTTGATCAATGAACGCGGATTTTAAAAATTATTTATGAAGGAACTTTTTTCAACTATTGGACTAATGAATGTCGATTTAAATGACTATTTTTAAAAGACTTTAGGAACTCTTTTTCATGTTCTATGCGACCAATGAAAGTGGATTGTAAAATCTATTTTTCAAGGACTATCAGACTAATAAATATTAATTTTCAGCATATATGTGAGGGACCATTGAACAACAAAACATATTTTACAGCACTTTTATGATCATTTCCCAAGCACTATTAAACCAATGAAAGTGCATATTAAGAACTATTTTTCAGTAATTATCATACCAACGTGAATTTCAAGGACCGAAGTGCAAGTGTACTAAGTTACAAAGAACTCTTTTTCCAAAGTTAATTAGATTGATAGTATTAAGTCTAATAAACGTTGATTTTAGGATTCCTTCTTCAAAGCCAATCAAATCAAATAGAAGGCATTTTAAGGACTCTTAGAAGGACTCTTAAAAAACGTACCTGTAATTTAACAACAAAAATTTCGAGTCCAAGGCGTTGAAGGTACAACACATTCCATCATCCGTCAACACAGTATTGAATATATTCGAACAATTTTCAACACGAGAACCAAAACTGCAAAACAGAAGCATTCGATCGCATGGTTGGGCGACCTGTAAAAAATATTTTATAAATTCTTCTATTCAATCATTCTCCACCCTTCACCTACCTCTATTAAAATAGCCTTAAAATATTTCCAAATCCCAGATATGTCATTACAACATCATTAGCATCCTGATCGCATAGGCTCATTAACAAGGAGAAATTGGAACTAGTTCTGGAAAAGAATTTAAGTTACAAATGAAATATTTATCAAGTTCGGAAATCAAATGGCTTACTTTGGTATATTCTTTACTTTACTCCGTTGTGCTTGATTCAGGTTGCATATGGTAATGGCTGGGAATGGTACTTCTGTGCTAAGCGTTAGTTTTGAGCTAGTCGATATAATTATCGGGGTTGCCGACCATTTCACATAAACATTGGATATGAAAAATCCCGAAACGATCACGACACAAACAAAGGCCAGGCCAAAGAATACTCTGTAAAAAATGAACAAAATATACATTAAGTTAATGGTGAAATTAGTAGTAGTAGTGAAATAACTGGCTGACTAATTTAGAATCAACGCCCAGATGAAATGGCGGAAGCCAGAATCTTGATATTTTGCACAAGGTTCAGTCTTGGTGAGTAGGTGTGTGAAAAGGCCTGGTTTTTGAAAACTCGTAACAAAAGGGTCTAAAAGTACTAAAATGACTAAAAATTAAATACTTTGTATTGGACAAACGGGATGAGCTGGAATTCGAAGTAAAAGTCACCGAAAGAGTGCAAGGTAGATATGGCAAAAGGTTTTTGGAAATTCGAACTTTATGGTTACGAAAAGTTCTAAAATGGTACTAAACTGCTAAAATGGTACCATTTGGTATTATATGAATGGATGGAGCTAAAAACTTAAAATTTGGTCGGGAAATCAACATTGGAAAGTTAGTTTGAAATATGAAGGTGAAACTGAAATTTTGGGTTGGGTTCCTGTAGGTGGTAGTTTTGTGATACAGAGGTGGTTTTGGAATGTGTACTAAACTGTACTAAATAGTACTATATTTGATAAACGTTTGTTCATGTGTAACCTGGACATATGGAGGCGGTTTAGGAAATACAGGGTGAGATAAAAAACGTCAACAAAGTTAAAAGTCATAATTTTTACATTTTGGTCCATTTCCGTCGAAGCGCTTGCTTGAGGTGATCGACACTTTGGTACTTTTTAGTGCCAACCTGGCTTTCCAAAATACTCCAGACAGAATAGTCCAACGGATTGGTATCCGTAGATTTTGGTGGCCATTGTGTGATGGAAATAAAGCGAGGAACCTCAATTTCTTGGGCTGATTCCTGTTGGAATGTCCAAGGTCTGCGGCCAAAACGTTTGTGTGCCCAAGTCTTCAATACACTCTCCATAATATTTTCGCGATAATATTCGGCATTTATTCTGATGCCACGGTCGATTAATACGAGCGGAGAGTGACCATCGGCTGTTATGGCGGCCCACACCATCACCATGGCCGGCGCTTGAGTTCTGGTGTCCAACCGAAGGTGTACATTTTCAGCTGACCTCTTTGGCAAGTAAACAGGATTATTTCGTTTGTTTACAAACTACTGGACAACGAATGTTTTCTCATCGGAGCGGAGAAAACCAAATTCGGCAGTTCAACACTTTCGGCCAAGCGAGGCAACTCTTTAGCTCTTTTGAGTCTATTTGTTTTTTCTGTTGCGGTTTAAGTTCTTGAACTTTTTGAATTTCAATGACTTTACCCCGAGCTCATTTTTCAATATTTGCCGAATGGAATATTGCGATATGTTCAGCTCACGAGCCATTTTTCGGCCACTGCTCATGTTTCGAACCATTTCTGCTGATGTTGCTGTTTTCTTCCGTTCACTTCCTTGACGTGGGGATACGCTACCAGTAGCACGGAAACGAGCGATGTTACGAGACACAAAAGGTTTATTCATGTTGGAGTGCTCTAACGATAGCCGATGTGGAAAATTCTTACCAAAATGCTTTTGTACGCTTGTAAGCAATATAATGAGCAGTCACTAGAATAATTTTTACAGCTGTCGGACGATAGGCTTATAAATGACAGGAGTCTGAATTTGGTGGCAGTTTTTTCACCTCACCCTGTATGTACTATAATTGTACGAAAAGTACTGAATGGTACTATATTTGGTATTGGGTGAAGGGATACATATAAAATTCTGAATTTTTATATTTACATTACTGATGGTATCTGTGTTTGAGATTTTGCGGTTTTTTGGAAATGAGCCCCACATTTGTACAAAAAATATTAAATGGTACAGCATTTGGTATTGGGTAAATAGATAGAGCTGGAATTTTCTAATCTGATATTAAGGTCTCTGTTGTTATCTGGAATCGAGATATGAAAGTGGTTTTGGAAATGTGTACCATAATTGTTCTAAAACTACTTAGTGGTACTAAATTTGATATTGGGTGAAGGAATAGAGCTGAAATCCTCAAATCTATTTTAAACAATACGAAAAGGAACTAAATGCTTCAAAATTCGATATTGGGTGAAAAGATACAGCTGAAGTCCTGAAAATTGATACAGATGTCACTGTTGGTGTCTGTAGTTTACAGAAGGAGGTGTTTTCGCAAATGCGTATAACGAACGTACGAAAAGTAGCAATATGCCACAAAATGTGCCGTTGGGACTTGGGATTAAGATGGGATTCTGAAATTTGCCATCGAGGTCACTGTTGGTGTCTACAGTGGAGAGAAGGATGTGGTTTTGGACATGCGTATTGTAACTGTACGAAAAGTATGGTAATAAATTTGGGATTGGGTCTTAGGATAGGTTGGAATTCTGATATATGATATGGAAGCCACTGTTGGTATATGCTTGTGAGAGAAGGAGGTGGATTTGAGAATGTGTGCTATGTTTGTTCGCAAAGTACTAAATTGGAAACGGGTTAAATCCTGAAATTTGATATTGAAGTAACTTTTTGTTTCTAGGATTTAGATATGGTGGTGGTCAAGGGCCAACGACGTTATAATGGTTTCGGCCAGAAAAATTGGATGTGAAACCATTGTACAAGGGTTTAAATAATGTGATCTTCGGTAAACTTAACAAGTTAAGTTCGACCGGGCAAAACTTTTAGTACCCTCCACCACTTGGAACGAATTTGAAAATTTTCAAAAAATAAAAGCCGTTAAAAATTCTGTTAAAAATACCGAATATAGCCGTTATATTGGGGTCTATACGACGTGGACCTACATAGGCATTGTTTGTTATTAGCCATTATCATTATAAACGGTGAATAATGTAGCATCATGAAAATACCGTATATAGGGAGGTACCGGAGCAATACGAAGACCTGGACCTGCAAAGACAATTTTCTGTCACAGGCTGTAGCATCCATGACGAACTTCAAATACGACATCTCAAACAATTTCGGTGAGTATTGTACCTAATATCGTCAAAGTACCGAATATATGGAGGTACTTATATATGGGCCTATACGAAGACCTGGACCTGCATAGACAATGTTCTGTCACAGAATGTAGTTCCCATTACGAACTCTTAATACGTAATTTAAAACAATTCCGGTGAATAATGTCGCTAAAATCATCAAAAAACCGAATATTGGTAGGTACCGTTATAGGGGGACTATACGAATACGTGGACCTGCACAGACAATTTTCTGTCACAAGCTGTAGTGTTCATTACGAACTTGAAATGCAAAATTTAAAACAATTTGGGTGAATAATGTCGCTGAAATCATCAAAATACCGAATATCGGGAGGTACCGTTATATGGGGGCTATACGAAGACGTGGACTTGCACATACAATTTTTTGTCCTAGGTAGTAGTATCCATTTCGAACTTCTACTACCAAATTTGAAACAATTCCGGTGAATAATGTTGCTAAAATCATCAAAATATCGAATATCCGGAG